TTGTGTCCACACAGAACAAATGGTTCAATTCAGAATTTCAAGGCCAACTTCTAAAAAATACTACAACTGAAAAATAATGAAAAAGCTCTGCCAGGATGAGGCCTCAGCTTCTACAGTGTTGCAAAAACCATTAAAGTATGAAAATGGAAAGTACAGTAAACCCTGCTCACTGCCTGCTTGTGCCTGAGGTTTGCCATCTAGTAATTCTTAACAGTCACACATTTACGGGTGATAGGTGTTTAATTCTAGAGGTCATAACACATTTTGTTTTAACTTTTTGGTTGATTAATTTACATAAGCGTTAACAATTGTTGGATTACCAAGCAGTGCTTGTAGCATTGCTTCTTTTTTTGAGGTATTAGTATTTGATATTACAGTTTCAATGGAGTGTAAAGAAATTCTAATTTCACCAAGAAGTTACATTTTTCAATTGGACAAACACCTTTTATCATTCCAGTTAATTTATTATCTTGCTCTGGTGCCTCTAAAACTTTGAAACTAAAAGGCATTTTTTTCCCCTGTTCATAAATGCCTCTTTCAGAATGAAACGTTCTCCTTTTGGAAGGCTCCAGGTACTTTTTAATAAATGATTTGTTCTAGTAAACTTCAAGAGCTTTTTAGGTAAGAGTTCCATAATAGCTAGGATGCAAGGACTGTTTTGGTCTCCTTTCTTTCCAGAAGACAAAGCAAAATAATATCATTATTGTTCCTTATAGAAGATGGCTGTCCATTTAAAAAAACAAAATGCAATAACTTCATGTCATTCATTAAACAGTTATTGATTGCTTACTATGTGCCAACAAGTACAACGTTGAGCATCGGATATTGCTTTTGTCAGTACAGATAAGATGTTATTTCTTTTTAGTTGAACTATAGAATATGATTCTCTCAGACAGCTTTTCCTTTCTTTTTATTTCATTGTTTATAATTTTGGCTAGTTTAAAGAATAAGCCATATAGAATACATAAATTCTTTTTTAAAGCTCAATCAGCCAAAATTTTTCACAGTTTAAACTAATAGGATCATAGTGAGTTCAAGTCTGTTGATACCTACTGAAAGCAAGGGTCAAAATAAAAGCTATTTTAAGGTTTCTGGATTAATGGTAAAAGAAATAAAAAAAATAAGGCAATCTGTAATGAATAATTAAACCAAATATATGAGTGTTCTAATTTCAAAAGCAGGCAATACATTAAAGCAGATGAAATCTGTATTACTGATAATTAAATCTGTGTTACTACAGAAAATATGAGAATAAAAATTATTTTTAATATAAAATACACTTTCTATTAGTAGTACTCTAAATTAAACAAATATTTTCATCCATAATCTATCTTTTGAGATTTCTATAATCTTTAACAATTCTTATCTTATGTGACTCTTATTTTGTACATAACTGTCAGGCTTTAAATTATTTGAGGTGAAGCAATGTAATTTGCACAACTTATTTTCTAAACTGTTGGCTGATCTTCAAGGACAGGTCAACAACCTCCGGAGATGTAAAAGACAGTATATTAATTTGCACCCAGGAACAACCTCCAATACAGCAGAGACCAAAGGTATGAAGGAATTTCATCATCATTAAAAGAATGCCACTACTTGTTTATCTTTTTTTCTTCTGAAAGTGAGGCACGGGATACTAATTAATGAAATATTACGAAGATAAATGGTTTGGTTATGTTACCAGAACTGTACCAAATTATGTGGTTTCAAATACTAATCTTTTTTGAGTAAAAAATTCACAGTTAAGGAACCAAATTGACTCACAAGACTATGCCAAAACATTCACACCTTTCTCTGTGAGGCTGAGTACCTCTAGTTCTTCAAGTCTCTGTCTCCAAAGTAGTGACAGAATTCAAAGAGATATCACATACTCCTGATGGTTTATTGCTCACCTCTAAGAACACTACAAGTGAGTTCAGTATTCATGGGAGGTGCAAAAGTGCAAATGAGAACTAATTCCCAAAAAGCAGAGTAAATGGCTACAGTATGGTCTACTGGTTACCAAGATGCAGTAATCAATTAATGCTGATTAGACACAAATGTAGATGTAGGAGCAGAACATCTTAATGTATCCTCTAGCACTAACTTCTATTTTTTCCTTCCCATCTTCTAATGTAACAATCTAACTACTGTAGACAATTCACATTGTAAACAGAAAACCAACAGACCAACCTAATAAAACAAACTTCCTACTAAAAGTAAAAACGTTAATGAGAAATTTTGCATAGCCATTGATTCATGTATTTCCATTCCTGTTAATGCGATTTCTGATCAATCTGTGGACCAGAAGAGCATAATCTGAGTATTTACTCTATTGGTTATACAACAGTACATTTCCAGATATGCTTCCTACTGCAGTCAATTCTATGCTCAGAATAGCACATCTACTAAGACTTGAAGATGAAAAAGATGACATTTTTGAGTACTTTATAAAAAATCTATATAGCAACTCAGACACAATTATGTTACTGTTTGAAAAATCAACTACTCGTCTTACTTCTCCCAAGTTCAAACCAACTGAAGGTTATGAAGCAACCACTTCCCCCAAAAGCCAGAACTTTCACCTCCTCTGAACAGAGAAATACCTCTCATAAATTAGGTAAAAATAAGGTCTTGCTGATGGAAGGATCATCCAAGATTCATGTAGCTGTCAATTCCCTATCTCTCCCACAATGTGCAATCCCTGAAAGTCAAGGTAGTAACTTACTCCATCAATTATCTGCAAGTCTAAAAGTGTGGTTAAAGCAACCTGCATAAATATTAGTTTCTCAAATTAGTTCAATTTGTTTCCAGGAACAGTAACAAGAGAAATGTAAGGAATATGATCACTAAATATAAAATTCTGCCAATTTCAGATTAATTTGCTTTAATCAACTCAACCATCACAGATCTTGTTTAAGAGGTAGAGTAAAAAGGAAGTGCAAAGATCAAAGCAATGCTTACAAAGGGGAAGGGGAAGGACTATTTTTGCAATGTATACCCCCATATTTACTACCTGGGTTTGAAAAACAGGGGCATTTACTCAGCACAAGTGAGTACCAATGCAGAACATAAGAAATTTCAAAAAAAAAAAAAAGATAATAAGATTTTTAAATCACCAGCAACCCAGGATTATACTGTTTTCTTTAAAAAGTCTCTAAGAGTTTAAGTGGTTTTTTCACTGCAAGCAGCAGTATTAAGCATACATATAACGTGTTCCTTTGTGTTCAAGTTTGTCCAGCAGGCTGTAGCCCAGGAAGACATTTTATCTAAACAAGCAGGGGAGGCTATTTAGGAATTGCAGGTATATCAATATGGATGAATAATCTCAGATTTCATGTCTCCATTAATCGTATAAGCTCTTTTCGTTTTAGCAATTCAATTAAATCATGAATGTAAAATTCTACAAGGAACAGATCTTTTTACTTCCTGCTTTCCCAAGTTTATAAACTAAAAAAAGTACTCTGCTTCAAATTTAAATACATAATTCCCATAGTGCCTCAAACAGTAAAAGGATTCACCTCTAGAAAGCACAGTATTATAATTAGGAAAAAAAAACATACTTCAGTTTTAAGTTTCCCTTTTAAAGTTTTAACAAACAGGAATGCACTTTAAACTGCTTGATAATATTCAGTTGTCGGATTCTGCTAGAAAAAACGTATGGAACATCATGACCCCAACCTTTAGTATTTACTAAAGATCACCAGTGTGTAGAAGAATATTTTGATGCCAGAGCTAGTCAATGTTTTAGTAATACCATAAGCATTTTCTCAGATTATGAGCTTTATAACAAAATCTTTAGGTTAAATACAGTTAGTTCATAAACTGTAATGCTGAAAACCTCTACTTAACAGAGTACATGAAAATGTCTTGAATCTTGATAATTAAATCCTGTATCATTAAGTCCCATTTGAGTTTCAGGATAGACCAGTAAGCCAGGGCAAACATCCCCTGGTGTATATGTTTTTAAAGACCATAGGAAAACTTACATTTAGGTTAGGCATTGTTTTTACATTATTTTTTGTTTTGGAGGTCATGCACAATGCATGGTGACTCTGTCCAAGAGTTTTACATAATCAAGTCTAAAAAGTGCTCTAAGTATGCAAGTGACTATATCGTGTGTGTGGTGGGTTGGGGGGTGGGGGGCAGGGGGAGAGGGAGGGCGGGAGGGAGGGGGGAGGGAGAGAGAGAGACAGAGAGAGAGAGAGGAAGGGAGGGAGGGACAGCCTTCCTTTAGAAGTAGGAGAGGGATGAATAGACTCTCCTATTCAATTCTGGGGAGCTGGAGAGGGCTTTCCCAGCCAAAAGGACTGACAAGGACTTCTGCTTTCATTTCATGGAACGCCCTTAGGTGAAATCTGGTTCTGCACTGCACCAACCACCTTCCCTCTCTCCTCCGCGCCGCAGCGCACCTCAACCTTCTCACCATCCCCCAGCTGCGGCTGGGGGTGGGGATTTTAAAAGTTTGTAAGAGTTCCCCACCGGTTAGCGTTCCCGCCCCGCGGAGGGACGTGAATAGAAATGACCGCCCGGGGGCCACGGCCCTTCGGCCGAGTAGCCCCCTGCAAGGTCCGGATGCGCCGAGGACGTGAAGAGGAATGACCGCCCGGCGGCCGCGGCCCTTCGGCCGACTAGCCCCTGCGAGGTCCGGATGTGCCTTTCCCCGCTGTCTCCAATCCCTTGTGCCTCTCAGCTACTGTCAACCTTCTCCCACGGTCTAGCCCAGCGGTTAGCGCAGGAATAAGGAAGTCCGAGTGGGGCTGGAGGGGTGCGGAGGGCTGGGTGGTGGGACTCGGGCCACGCGTACCCTGCCGGGTCCCCACTCGCCCGAGTTTGGCTTACCCGGGTGGCGAGTCAGCGTTCGGCTTCCTGTCGCGGGTGGGCTCTCCCTCCCGGGCGGCGCGGGCCTAAGAGCTGGAGAAGGAAGAGGCGGCGGCCGGCCGGAGCCCGAGCGGGCCCGGGTGCGGGTCGGGGCGAGCGAGAGCGCAGCGGGGCCAGGCTGGGCCAGTCAGCGCCGCGCCATGTCCGCAGCGCGGGCGGAGGGAAGCGCAGGGCGCGCTGTGGCCGGGCGGCGGCGCGCCTTCCTGGCCGAGCGGCTGCGGCCTCGGCGGCGCTGGGCTCCGGGAGCCGGGCCGGCGGCGGCGTGCAGGCCGAGGGCGGCGGCGGCTGGCGGCCAGACCGACGGGAAGGGCAGGGGAAGCTGTCAGCGCGTCGCCGGGCCGCTCCGGTGGCGAAACCTCCTCTTCCTGCCCCGGCTCGCTGGTGCACTTCTCTCTCTTTCTCTGTCGCTCACTCTCTCACTTCCTGGCTGGAAATTCCCACTGACGTCGAGAGAGCATACAGACAGACTGACACACGCGCGCACGCAGCGGGGGCGGGAGGTGGGGTCGCTGGCGGGGGTGGGGGAAGCCCGCATTTATGGGGGCGCCCTGCGCCCCAGGCCCGGCCTGGCTTCTGGGCTCGGCTCCCGCCCCTCGGGGCCGCTTCGGGGCGCCGGGCGAGGGGCGCGCGTTAGGAGGCCAGGACGCCCCGGTACCCTGCAGGGCTCTGGCTTCCCAGCCAGGCGCTCCCGAACCCCGAGGGCTGGAGCCGGTAGGGACGCCCCCAGAAAGCGCCTGCTGGGCCTGATGGTCTAGGAACGCAGGCGGCGCGGAGGCGGCGGCGGCGGCGGTGCAGCTGATAGAGTCATGCGGTCCAGAGACCCTAAGGGCAGGCCCGAGCAGCTGGAGGGTCGGCATGGATCCAAGCATGCCAGATATAAAAATAAAGCTCATCTGTATATTCCATTTAAGTGTGTCTCAGTTACACTCAAATCTCTTCGCAGATTAAACTAGAATTTAGATATCATAACCGACTTGTGTCAAGTGAAGTAACCTCTACTGGTTTTGGTGCAGTCTTAAATCTGGTTAGGACACTTACTCAGAACATTCATCTACCAGATATTGTTAGGCTTTTATGATAATTACTGTGGATAGAATCATAGTGATGGTGGTAGGAATGCATTTGATCTGACAGAGGGGAGTTTTCTTTTTCTCTGAAGAGATCGTTACTGGCACCCACAGACAGGCCTCCCAGTGGCCACCACCATTCACTGGCATCTGAACTGCTTTAGTGTTGGGCACTGTACTAGGCACAGGCTGGGGAGAAGTTGGTAGTGGACTACCTCCCCACATAAGCATGTTAAGCCGAAATAGATATTTTAGAGCTCATTGTTTAACTACTGGGTCGAGTGACAACTGAAAGCTTAGCTTTAAAACATCAGTAATCAGGTCTGCACCAGGCAATGTCGCAGTGACATTTAGATTGCTTATGGCATGTTCATCCTAATCCTTTCATGCCCACTTTCTGTCCTCCTTCTCCAGTAGGTCATAAGAACCTTCTTGGTGGAGTGTTTTTATGGAAAATAAAAACGAAACAAACAAACAAAAAAAACAGATCCATTTGATTGCCTATGAGGTGAGCCTCCGCACCTAGCAGTCTACCTTTAAGAGATCTCATTTAGCTCCCAGAGGCTGAGCAGCTGGGATTCAGAAGATTCATAAAGATTGAACACAAAGACTTTTAAAGAAATTCTGTAGGCCAGGCGCGATGGCTTACATCTGTAATCCCAGCACTTTGGGAGGACGGGGCAGGCGGATCAGCTGAGGTCAGGAGTTTGAGACCAGCCTGACCAACTTGGTGAAATCCCGTCTCTACTGAAAATACAAAAATTAGCCGGGCGTGGTGGCTACTCGGGAGGCTGAGGCAGGAGAATCGTTTGAACCCAGGAGGCAGAGGTTGCAGTGAGCCGAGATGGTGCCACTGCACTCCAGCCTTGGCACGACAGAGCAAGACTAAAAAAAGAAAAGAATTTCTGTGTTATTATTTATGGGACAATATTAGAAGTTGTGCCAATACTACAGTAGAATGAGATACAGTTTATGTTAAATGATTTTTGCCAGTGACATGAGTAAAAAGTCTGCAAGCTCTCATGAAATAACAAAGTGTAAGGGGAGTGGGTTCCCCCACTTTTGGAGGCATGAGCATACACACTCTACTTTTCGTTCTGCAAGGGGTGGCAGCCCCATTGCCAGAAAATAGATAAATAGAATTGTTGCAAGAGTACAGTCACTGTGACATATATGGGAGGAAAAATGAAGAGTGTTAATTACTGAAAAAGATTAAACCAAACTGCAAACTCAAAATGATCTCATAAAATGAACAAAATTGAGGGTAAGGTGTTGAGCAGGCATATTAGTTTCCTGGGGCTGCTGTAAAAGGTACCATTGATTGGATGGCATACAATGGGAATTTATTCTGTCACAGTCCTGGAGCCTAAAATTCTGAACTCAAGGTGCCATCAAGGCCATGCTGCCTCTGAAGGCTCTAGGGAAGAATACTTTGGCTCTTCCCAGCTTTTGGTGGTTCCAGCAATACTTGGCATTCTTGGCTTGGCTGCAGCACTCCACTCTGTGCCTACATTGTCACATAGTCTCCTTCCCTGCATTTCCTTTGTGTCACTGTATTCAAAATCTCCCTAACCTTTCTTTTATGAAGATACCAGTCATTGGATTTAGAGCCCACCCCAATCCAGCATCACCTCATCTTAACTTGATTACATTTTGCAAAGATTCTATTTCCAAATAAACTCATATTCACAGGTACCTGTGGTTAGGACTTGAACATATGTTTTGGGGGGGATGTAATTTCATGCACCACAGCAGGCAAAACTATAAAAGCCTTCAGCTCACTCTTTTTGGCTCCCTGACTAACCTTCCTCCATTCCTGCTTTGTTGCCCAACATTTTCTCTACACTCTGCACAAACCTGCTTCCAGGAATATTTCTTTTTTTTTTTTTTGGTGGGGGAGGAAGGCAGGAAGGAAGGGAAGAAGGACGGTAGGGAGGAAGGAAGGGATGAAGGAAGGAAGGAAGGGAGGAAGCGGGGAGGGAGGGAGGGAGGGAGGGAGGGAGGGAGGGGAAGAAAGGAAATCAAGCAATGAAAGAGATATTGCCGACCTGGATCTAGAGGTTTACAAGTTGATTTCTTTTTTTATTTGAGAGAAGGAAAGAAAAAAAAATAATAAGTAAAGAAGAAGAAGAAAGAGGAAGAGAAAGAGGGAGAGTAAATGGAAATATTGCTTTATTTTGAAAAAAATTGGGTATTAATAATGGCCAATTAATGTTTCATTTAAACTAATGGGTAGGTGTGATGTGGTATTGACAAGAATGTATATTTTGTGTATTTGAAGTGGAGAGCTCTATAAATATTTATTAAGTTTACTTGTTCTGGATCTGAGTTCAAGTCTTTGATATCCTTATTAATTTTCTGTCTCATTGAATCTAAGTCTCCTATCTGGGTGTTAGGATCATTAGCTCTTGTTGTTGCATTGATCCTTTTACCACTATATCTTTGTTGCTTTAAAATCTATTTTATCCGATACAAGAATTGCAACTCCTGCTTTTTATTTATTTATTATTTATTTTTGCTCTCCATTTGGTTGGTAAATCTTTCTCCATCCCTTTGTTTTGAGTCTTTGTGTATTCTTGCATGTGAAACAGGTCTGGATGTAACATGCCGTTGGGTTTTGGCTGTGTCTTTTGATTGGGAATTTAGTCAATTTAAATTTAGGGTTACTGTCATTTGATGTTGACTGGCTGTTTTATCCATTTGTTGGTGTAATTTCTTCTTTATGTTGGTGCTCTTTACTTTTTGGTGTATTTTTAGAAAGGCTAATACTGGTTGTTTCTTTCTGTGTGTAATGCTTCTTTCAGAAGCTCTTGTAAAGCAGGCCTGTTGGTAATAAAATCTCTGAGTTCTTGCTTGTTCATAAAAGATTTTATTTTTCCTTCAGTTGTGAAGCTTAGTTTGGCTGGATATGAAATTCTGGGCTGAAGGTTCTGTTCTTTGAGGATGTTGAATATTGACCCCCACTCTCTTCTGGCCTGTAGAGTTTCTGCCGAGAGATCTGCTGTAAGTCTGATAGGCTTGCCTTTGTGGGTTATCTGACCTTTCTCTCTGGCTGCCCTTAGTATTTTCTCCTTCGTTTCAACCCTGGTGAATCTAACGATTATGTGCCTTGGGGTTGCTCTTCTTGAGGAATATCTTTGTGGTGTTCTCTGTATTACCTGGGATTGAATGTTGACCTGCTTTACTAGTTTAGGAAAATTTTCCTGCATAATATCCTGAAGGGTATTTTCCAGCTTGAATTCATTCTCTCCATAGCATTCAGGTACACCTATCAAACGTAAATTTGGTCTTTTCACATAGTCCCACATTTCTTGGAGACTTTGCTCATTCCTTTTTATCCTTTTTTCTCTAATCTTTTCTTCACGTTTTATTTCATTAAGTTGGACTTTGACCTCTGATATCCCTTCTTCTGCTTGAACAATTCGAGTGTTTAAACCTGTGCATACTTCTCGGAGTTCCTGTATTGTATTCTTCAGTTCCGTTAATTCACTCATACTCCTCTCTAAGTTGTCTATTCTCAATAGGATTTCATCAAACCTTTTTTCAAAGTTCCTAGTTTCTTTACATTGGGCTACAACGTGTTCTTTTAACTCACCGAAGTTTGTTATTATCCATTCCTTGAAGAGTGATTCTGTCATCAGGAGGCGCTCATTCTCCATCAAGCCTTGCTCCATTGTCGATGTGGAACTGTGATCATCTTTAGAGGGAGAGGCGTTCTGACTTTGAGTATTCTCAGCTTTTTTACGCTGGTTTCTTCCCGTCATTGTAAATTTATCCTCCTGTCGTCTTTGAAATTACCAACTTTCAGATTAGGTCTCTTGAGTGGATGTCCAGGTTGTTAGTTCCCAGGGCCAGAGCAGCGGCATTAAAACTGATGGTGCTTTTCTGCCCAGGATTCTCCTGTCTGGCTTCCTTCTTGTTTCCGTAGTAGGCGACTCTGCCTTCCCGGGGCTCCAAACCTCGGTCAGAAGGGGAACCGGTCCACGTTTACTCTGTGCCTAGCGCTGCCCGCCGAGGTGCCGGCGGAACCGCTGCACCGACCACGAGAGTCGCGCTGGCGACTCGTGTGTTTCCACCACCGGGGGATCTTCTGCTCCGTGAGCGACCAGACTTTGTCTGAAAGTGTGGCGTCCTCTAGTTCTCCGCGCCTTCCCTGAGAGCTGCAATCCGGGGATGTTAGCGATCGGCCATCTTGGATCGTTCCCCCCCAGGAATATTTCTTACAAATTCATCCATCCTAAGGTGTCAGAAAGTATTTACCATTATCAGGCTACAAAGAAAAAAAATGCCTCAGTGTGGAATTTCAGGCATCAATATTGCCTAAAAGACATGTTATATTGTGTTTGTCACTTGTCTTAGTTCATTTGTGTTGATATGGCAGAATACACAAGACTGGGTAGTTTGTAATGAAAAGAGGTTTATTAGGCTCACAGTCTGCAGACTGTACAAGAAGCATGGCACCAGAATCTGCGTCTGGTGAGGATCTCAGACTGCTTTCACTCCGGAAGGCAAAGGCGAGTGGTCTGTGCAGAGATCATAGGGTGAGAGAGAGGGGAGAGGTGCCAAACCTTTTAGTAACCAGGTCTCATGGGAACTAATACAGTGAGAACTCACACATCCTCCCCTCCCTTCAGGGAAGAGCATCAATCCATTTGTGAGGGATCCACCTCTGTGACTCAAACATCTCCCATTAGGCCCCACCTCCAAAATTGGGGTCACATTTTATCATGAGGTTTAGAGGGGACCAATATCCAAACAATAGTATCACTAAATCTTTGAAACTGCACAAATTTTCCTTCTCATGAAGCTATTTTGGAAATGTCAGTGTGCAGAGAATG